CAGGAGACCCAGGGTGGGGTCGATGGAACTTTGGCTGACTGTACGTAGACAGTGCAGGTATACAAACAATGTACATAGACAGTGTAGGTATACAAACAATGAACATAGACAGTGTAGGTATACAAACAATGAACATAGACAGTGTAGGTATACAAACAATGAACATAGACAGTGTAGGTATACAAACAATGGTAAACAGTAAGTCAATTCAACCAAGAATAATTGGTGAGTGTGTGTAAATAATAATAATAACTGTTTATTAATAGAGTTGCAGCCGGTGGCTGAAAATATACAAACTTACTTATGATTTAGACATAATAATATACATTCAATACATTTTCAGGGCTGTACAGTACATAAATCAGGAACTGTTTATTATTTTAACAATAGTTGAGATGGTGCTATTCTTATATCTCTCAGTGCGGGCTCTTATGGGCTGAATTTTGTTGTATGGCGGACTGCGTGAGGTGGGTGGTGCAGTAGTCCACTGCCAAACCCTGCTAGTGCGTGGTGATGGAGGTCACTGAAGGATGGCATTTCCCGGGTGGAGAGAGTGTTGTTGTAGCCGGAGTAGTCTGCGCCGAGCATGATTCTGCAGGCCCTCTTCTGTACCTTCTCTGGCTGACGTTGTTGGGTAGAGTTGAGAGAAGACGACCAGGCTGGTGACATATATGTTAATTTGGGGAGAATAAGGGCGTTGTAGATAGTCCTTGGCTTTGGCGTGGGTGTCCCAAGTGACCTGAGTTGCCGTAGCATGTAGAGTCGGTACGAGGCTGCCTTGATAGTGTTGTTTACATGTGCCTTCCAGTCCAGTTTGTGGTCTATAGTTACACCCAGACTGCACTAACTGGAGAGGATGGGCACCCACTGTGATTGCTGGAGTGGTGATGGTGTTGATGTCTTTGACTACGGTTTTGGTGTGATTGATGGTGATTTTGTTCTCTGTAGTCCATGCCTGTAGCCTGTCCAGGGTGCCTTGTAGCGATGAGTAGTCTGGAGAGATGTTGTTCACTGTAACCCCCACAGTGCAGTCATCCACGTACTTCCACCTGTGAGGAGTGTCCGATAGAGCGTCGTTGATCAGGATGAGGAAGCACAGTGGTCCCATCTTGGCCCCTTGGGGAACACCGCAGGTGAGGTGTTGGAATGTGGAGACAGAACCCTGGTACCTGACTGCTTGCTGCCGTTTGCTCAGCAAATCAGTGAGCCATAAGACCAGGTTGGTGGGCAGCCCTAGTGCAATGGCCTTGTTGATAACAGTGCAGTGATCAACAAGGTCATACGCCTTCCTGAAGTCAACAAGGGCAACGGCCAGTGATGTCTTACGTTTCTCAAGGTTTTTGTGCAGAAAATCCAGGAAACTAACTAAGTAGTGTGACGTAGAGGAGGTCCTCATATTGCCAGATTGCTGTGGATCAATTGACTGATAATACTAGCAAATGCCTGTTCACAGAGTAGACCAGGTATGGGGGTGATGGCAACTGGCCTAAGGTCACTAGGGGACTGTGGGGTGGGGACCTTGGGGATAGGGGTGACATAAGTGGTTTTCCATTCATTAAGGCATTTGCTTTGTCAGAGGGATGCACTAATAATGGAACAGAGGGGGGTGGCAAGTTCGACTGCAAACTCCTTGTATATTTTGATTGGGAGGTCAATTGGGGTCGTGGAGCATTTGGATTTAAATTTCAGGAGTTTGTTGGCGATTTCAAATGGTTGAACACTGGGAGGGGGGGAGGGGGAAGGTAAGTAAGCCGGGAGGAGAGTGAGGTCAAGACTGGGTAAGGTATGACATACGGTAGCAAAATGGTTATTAATTATCTCAGCTGCCTCCTCACTAGGTAAATGTGAGATGAAAGGAAGTGTGGGAGACTGACAGTTGAGACCACAGAGATCTTTTACCTTGGAGTACCACTGACCGATGCCAACCTCCTTGAGGCCGTGCACATTCCTGGGATAATAAGACTTCTTGGCCGATTTGATTTCCCTGATGACTTGGTTACGTAGACTTTTGTACAGGCGGTTGTTGGTGTAGTATGCCTTGTTGCGCGGCTCAATTAGTCTTTTGATACGGGGCGTAATCCACGGGACATCATCGGGGTGGATCCTCAGTGTCTTGGCTGGAAAGAAGTGGTGGTAGGTCTTGGTGATAGTGTCCAGGTAATTATCCCACTTGTTCTGCACATCGTCTACCGTGATCACTTGATACCGGGTCTCTCTCTCTCTCTCTCTCTCTCAGATGGTGTTATGAGGGGCATCACGTGGGGTGGTAATTCCCTCACAGATGGTGTTATGAGGGGCATCACGTGGGGTGGTAATTCCCTCACAGATGGTGTTATGAGGGGCATCACGTGGGGTGGTAATTCCCTCACAGATGGTGTTATGAGGGGCATCACGTGATGCTGTAGCAACTCATTCACTAAGTGGTGTCGTAGCATCATTGGGACACCACGTGATCTGTTGTCACAGGACTTCACTCACTCAAGTGGGTGAGGTGTGGTCCCAGGCCTCTCTATCGTGGAGTCTCAGGGGAATTATCACTGTGTGTGTGTGTGTGCGTGCGTGTGCGCGTGCTTAACTGATCATTAACCTAACCTAACCTAACCTGGAGTGAGATACAAGCCAAGCTTTGCCTCAGTGTACAATTAGTTGAGTGTGTAGGAGGGATAGTTGTTAATGTATTGTGTTTTACAGAGGAGGTGTTTGGGCTGCCACTCAACAAAGGAAGCGTCACCATAGTACCTACCATTGTCAACTCCCCCCGGCCGAGGATGCAACACATGGGTCGAGGCGGTGCCAGGCGAGGTCGACCGCCGATGGCCATGCAGTACGCTACCGGTAATATCATCACCAAGGGACAGATGCCTGTTAGGATCACCAAGAAACCTATGACAAACATACGTGGAGGTAAAGCCTACCAGACCATTGCTATGCCTGTGTCGGGGGGCAGCGCCACGCCACAGGCCCTGTTAAATAAAAGCGTGGTGATAACCCCAGCCACGAAGGCCACAGCGCTGGCCACCTCTAAAGCTGTTCGCAACATCAAACTCAACCCCAAGTTGACGGTGACCACCACGCCCAAGGGGAATAACGCCGGTCCCAGCACTAGCGGCGTGGCAGCGACCAAGATGACCGCCGTACCCAAGATAACCAAGAAGACCACGCTAGCTCAGCTGGCTAACTTACACAGAAACGAAAAACTGAAAAAGTTAAATCAGGCCAAGAAAGAACAGGAGAAGGACTCCGGCTCCAGCACGGTAGACAACTGCAAGTCCGAGTCCGGGGAGGAGGCCGACGGTCCCGTTAATCTGGTTAGTAAAAAGGAAGAAGCTGACAGCCCCAAGAAGGAGGAAGGTGAGAGCTGTGAAGCGGTGGGTGGTGGCTCAGACTCGGGTGCTGCTGGACTTGGAAAAGAACATCATGGTCTGGGCGGGTCAAATCACCTCTCCGATTCAGCTGCTTCTGAAGCATCCAAGATGGCTGACAACTCGTCCCCATTACCTGGCAAACGGGATGACAAGTTAGGAACCGCCGACGCTTCCACGGGTTTGGTGACGTCCGACGGAGGGCCAACGACAGACAGTTCTTCCCCTTCGCTCCATTCCAACGAAGTCGTCCTTGGAGCACCATCTAAGTCGGCCGTTGGATTTGGAATGCGGGACCTAGCAAAACCTCTCTCTAGCTCGGTGAGCAACAGCGAGAGTCGCACCGGCATCGTGAAGCCACAAGTACAACAAACACCCAACAAACCCACGGCCAGCCTCACCCCACTACAGTCCATGAGCAACCTGCTGCCCCCTGGTGGTCCAGGGCCCCCGGGGGCACCACACACTAGTCTTGCCTCCACCACTCTCCCTCACCTACCACCTTTCTCCTCCCAACAAGCCTTCCACTCCTCTCAACCGCTCTTCCAGCCTTTCTTGCAGCAACCGGCACAGCAACAGCAGCAGCAACAGCAGCAGCAGCAGCAGCAACAGCAGCAGCAGCAGCAACAGCAGCAACAGCAGCAACAGTCAGGTGGTAGCAGCAGCACTACCAACAGTAGTAGCTGGTCTAAAAGCAACATGGATGCAGTTTCAAGTGCCAGCCTGGGCAGCAACGTGGCACAGGTGGCACCTCACGTGCACCAGTCTGGCCTGTCCACTTCCAACACATACGCAGGCTCTCAGTCTCCCTTCCTGCCATCCACCACGCAGGCTCAGTTCAGCGGCAATGGCGGGAGCTACGGAACCATGTCTAGCATGTCTAGCCCCATGCCGGCCACCACCCAGCAGGCCACTACCACTTACCCCACAATGTCTGACAGTCCACAGCTCTCACAACAGCAACACCAAATTCAACAGTCTCAGCAGAGTTCCCTGAGCTCGACGCTGGCTCACGCCGGCAGCGGTCTGGTGCACAGTTCACGCAGCGGAGGACTGGGCGGAGCTGACAGTCCCCTAAACTTGTCCCACTTACTTAATTCTCAAGTGTTTGACGCAGTGCCGGAAGACCTGAGCTCCCCACACAGCCATGCGTCCGCCCTCGACTACCTCAACTACACCCTGTCGACGGGCACCAGCGCCTTCCGTCGCCCCGACTACCAGGCCACGCTCAGCCCAGACTTACAGTCGCTAATTAATTCTGCCACGTCCCAACAATCCCTCACCTCTTCCCTCCCCGGTGCAGCCCACGCGGCCTCCAACCCTGCGGTGACGTCTCCTTCGCCATTCCCGTCCTACCAGCCTCCCACCTACCCTCAGTACGCCCCCTCGTACCGAACGGGGACCTCGGTGTCTGCCAGTCCGTACGCCGCTTACGCCGGTCAGTATCCCCCGTACGCTGCCCAGTACCCGCCCGGTCTGGCCCCACATGCCGCAACCACCGCACAGCCTCCGACTATGGGTCAGTACGGAGCACTGCACACCCCGCCCAACCCCTACCAAACGTACCCCGCACCTCCGACACCCGGACGATCGCCGTACTCGTCTACCCTCGGTGGGTTCAGTCACGGCCCGTACCCC